TAATTGTAGGAAGTCAAAAAAGAACACTCATAAATGCACTTCATGTTTGTTGTGTAAATATGGCAACACTTGGGAAGGTAAATTTGTGTTTTTAGCCGGGTGGTGCATGCCTGTAGTCCCAGCATTCTGGGAGACAGAGGCAGGAGGGTTACAAATTCGAGCCAAGCTTGGGCTTCATAGTGGTTAGTGTCTCAAAACTGAAAATGAACGAACAATTGGAGATGTAGGCTCTGGGTAAAATCCCCAGTCCTGCAAAAACCAGGATGTTTTGGTCAGGCATGGCTGTGTATGCCTATAACCAGCTATTCAGGAGCCTGGTATTCGAGCCAGCCTGGGCAGTTTAGCAATTTATCAAAATGCTGTCTCAAAATTATTTTTTAAAAAAGGGGCTGGGATACAGCTCAATGTGCAAGGCCTAGGGAGCAATCCTCGCTGTCTTAGGGGAAAAAGTGTTACTTGTCATGTTTTTAATTTCCCAGAATTCTGTTCCTCAAGTCCCTCTTTCTGTGGCAGCTCCAGGGACAGGTGATCCATAGGATCTCTCTGAAGACAACAATAACAACTTGTGTGTGTGTGATACTGGCAATAGAAGCCAGGGCCTTCACACTGAGCTGCAGCCCCAGTCTCATGCCTTTTATTTTTTACTTTGAGGTATGGTTTTGGTAAATCACTAAGTTGCTCAGGTTGGTCTTGGACTTGCAGTCCTCCTGCTTCAGCCTCCCAGAGTGCTGGGATCACAGATGTGTATCACCATGCCCAGCTAAGAGCAATAACTTAATATTCCTTTTGGAGGACATCTTTTTGCTTGCTTGCTTTCATGCTATCAGCTGTTCTCAAAAAACACGGTGACTCTTGCTGGGCATGGTGATACAGCCCTGTAATCCCAGCACTTGGGAAACTGAGGCAGGAGGATTGTGGGTTCAAAGACAGCCTGGAAGACCTTGTCTCAAATCACAACAAAGAAATCAAAAGCAGAACTCCTTGTGACTCTTGAGAATAATGCAGGCTACTACGTTACAGGGAATACCGCTTCCAGGAGGAGCTCAGAGGTTCCTAAACTTGCCTGCTCAAAAAGGAGAACCACTCAAAAAGCCTGTAAGCAACATGGGTGCCGGGGCGCAGTCCTGCGTGGGACTGATCCGGAGCCAGGACTGGGCATTGCTGTGATACTCAGAGCTCAGCAGGTGCCCCTGAGGTGCAGCTAGTGTCCAGAGGAACTACAGAAAACGACTGTCTTGGGGAGACGCGTTTGGGGGTGCGGCGAGTGAGTGACCCCTTCCCCCGAAGCCTCAGAGCGGCCGCTTCTCAGATGCTCAGCTTTCTTGAGGGATTTGCTGGGAAACTTCATGCGTGGTACTGGACCTGTGGCTCTGCACCGAGGGACAGCCCAGTCCTTATTTAGCAGTACGGGGGCTTGAACTCAAGGCCCGTGCACTGACCTACACACATCCTCACCCCTTTTACAACACTCCTGATACAGAGTCTCACTAACTCCCCCAGGCTGGGCTCAAACTTTCAGTCCTCCGGTCCAGCCTCCAGGAGTGCTGGGATCACAGGTGTGCACCCCCAGGCCAAGCAATTATTTATTTATTTGCTTGTCTGTTTGAGGCAGAGTCTTGCTAAATTGCCCTGGAACTTGGAATCCTCCTGCCTCAGCTTTCCCAAGTGCTGGGATCCTAAGTGTGTACTACCACACCCTGCTCCCACCCCTTTTCTGGTTTTTTATTTTGCAGCAAGCTCTCAATCACTGAACTGCCGAGGCTGGACTGGAATCTGCAGTCCTGGGATGCGGAGGTTGCAGATGTGGCCAGCAGGCCCGGCTGGGCCTCTCATCCCTGCATCTGTCCACGGCTCCCCACTGCACCCGGAGCACATCCAGACACCTGTCCCTTTCAAAGGTTTCCAGGGAAGCCACTTGCGATGGCCAGTCTGTCTCCTCCCAATCTGTCTTACCCTAAATGGTCACCTGCTCCCGAGCCTCGGTCCTGATCCCAGTTGGGGCATGTGCCACCCAAGCAGCTCCAGCCCCCGTCCTCCCAGGGCCCGGCAACCCCAGGGTCCGGCTGCTTGGTGCCTCACCTGTGATTCGTCTTTCAGTCCTGCACACCAGTGAGCGAGTCCTGCTGGCTCCCGTCCAGGCGGGGGAGGCGGGGGCAGCTCCGCAGTTGCCGTCCTGGAGAAGGCAAGCAGGCAGCTGCCACTCCTGGTGATAAAAAGGAAAAAGCGAATCAAACTGTTCACTAATCGAGCAAGCTGTTGCGGTCCTCAGATAAGAAGGTCAGGTCCTGGGGTGAGCTAGGCGTGGTGGCTCTGGGCCTGTGATCCCAGCGCTTCAAGACGCTGAGGCAGGAAGATCACAAATCTGAGCTTTCTCTGGGTAGTTTAGTGATTTAGTAAGACCTTGTCCAAAAAAAAAAAGAAGAAGAAAAAGAAAAGAACAATTGAAAGGGGGCCTGGAGGCCGACCTCGGTGTGAAGATCCTGGGTTCCATCCCCTCTGCCACAAGGAACAACTGCACTGTCCGCTCATTTAGCACTTTTCTACACTGAGCTCTCACCTAGACAGGGGATGTACACCTTTTTAATTTTTTATTGAGAGAGACAGAGAATCTCATTATGGAGCCCGGACCGGCCTTGAACTTGTGATCCTCCTGACTCAGCCTTCCATGTACCACCTACCCAGCACACTTGTAAGCACATTTTGGGCCATCCACAAGTTCATGCTTGAACAGTACCTAAAATGAAAGGGTACTGTATTATTTTCCCCTTTTGAGGGGAAAAAAAGCAAAGAGGCTGAGGCAGGAGGATTGGAAGTTCCAACCCAGCCTGGACAACCTAGAGAGTGTTAACACGACCCTCTCTCACACTAGAAAAAATTAGAAAGGGCTGGAGTTGTAACTCAGTGGAAAGGCCCTGGGTTCAAGCCCCAAAACCACAAAAAATAGAACAAGGCACGGCCCGATTCACCCTCCCAGCCTCCCCTCGCCTGTGCTGTCGAGTCTGAGAATTCATCCAGCAGAAGTCCACGCCGGTCGGATGGGCCCCACAGTGTGCAGAGCTTTGAGGCGACAGGCCGCCTCAGCCCAGGACCCTGAGCTGGCAGAACGCAGGCCCGGGTTCCAGCCCTCGCTGGCAGTGTGACTCACAGAGGCTCGGAACCTCAGCGCGGAATGTGGACATGAGCGAGGCGGGCTCCGGGGGGTCCAGGAGACCTCTCACCCTGGGGCTGGGCTGGGACTAGGGAGGGCAGCCTTCGACTGGCAAGAGGTGCCACTTCCTAGGCCGGCACAAGGGACCTCTGCCTGGGGAGCTAACACTTGACTCCTGGAAGCTGCAGGGTAAGGAAAGGAAACGGCCAAGTGACCACCTTGCCCTCGGGTGGGACTGGC